GCAGAGAAACTTCTTATTCACTTCCAGAAGTAAATGGCAGGATTTAGTACTTCTTTAGAACAATCTAGTATTATTAGCTTTTCTATTTCAGCAGAAATTAGAAATGGTATTCAATGTCCAGACATACATATTTTGAAGAAATGATTGATTTCTGAACCTCCTGGAAGTAACACAAGCATTAGCTTATAAGAAAGGTTTTCAGAAAGGATAACATTAATCCAATTTAAGATAAATGAGAACAAAGAAAGGTACAATTCACTTATTTGTTGTGCCAGCAAGCATTTGCCAAGCCCCTTACTCTGTGCCATGATTCCCACTTTATGGACGAAGCCACTGCAGCTTGAAGAGGTGAAGTAAATAACAGAACCAGGATTTGCCCCTTGTTGTCTAACACACCCAGAGCCTGTCCATCAAAGCCCAGGCATCTGTACGCAATGTAATAGCGTTTTACGTGTGAAATTCTCATCTTCTCCAGAACTGAGCCATGCCTTGTTTGTCTCTGGGTCCCCAGTGCCTCTTCCAGGGCCTAGATCTTGGTATGCAGCGAGGGATTGTGTGATCGCTGAGTTCAGGAATGACTGAATGAAAAGACAAGTGCTACCTTTTATGGTTTTTTAAAAAGCTTCCTTTATCCAGCTGAGAGGTTTTGTGCCATGGGAGCTATGTTTCCCCCAAAATAAACCTGAAGTGGATCAAAAGGCTCTTTTTTTATATCCCTACTCTTCCCACAAGTGAAAAAAGTTCCTTTGTTACTTAAAATATCTGCGCCAGATCGTACAATGCTGTCTCTTAGCGCAAGTGCTTATTATTGTGGCTAATTTGGTCACATGTGTTTGAAGAAGAACAATGCCTCAGAAATTTTTAAAAGCAAAACAGCAATCTGCAGCGTTTGTTGTAATGAGATGTAAATTGCCAACATCGGGGAGTAGAGCGGGAGTAGAGCCGACCAAAATTTGCAATGAAGTGTTTTTCTTCCCCTCTTAAATTAAAAGCACTAGAGGCCCTTCCTTCTCTCCCCAAAGAAACCACGTGCTTTTTTGTTCCTTTGCTTTCTGATTCTCTAATACCAAACACTCAGCTTTCCTGACTGGCTCATTCCTCCATTTATCTGCCAGTTCTGACTGTCTACCTGAGCCTCGTTCCGTGCCCTGCTCAGCCCTAGGCCCCTCCAGAGGCTTTATCAACCTGCAGGGTGGCTATTGGTAATCCCTGTTTTGCAGGCAGGAAAGTGACGCACAGAGAGGTGAGGTGGTGAGGTCACGCAACGGGATTCACACCCAAGTCTCCTGACAAACCCTGTCAAAGACATGCCTTTGGCTGGTCCACCCTCCTTGCTGGGGCTGAGGCACCAGGCACCTTCACTGTGCGGTGCTGGAGGAGGCAGTTGCGGAGAGCAGGGCTAACGCTTGTATTAAACAGTACTGACCAAGAGTGTTAGGGAGTAGTTTTCCTTGAGAGCCAGAAGATCTCAGCACAATAGCCTCAATATCTGACAGAACTCCGCCAGCCCCTGGGGAGACCAGCGTGAGTGCAGGGGAGCATGGATGTGCCAGGGAGTGTGCAGACCTGCTGTAAGCTGGGCTCTGCAGGGCACTTGGGGCAAAAGACCAGCAGGCCTCTGGCTCACAGAAGCTGCAGTTTAGTCCTGGACTAATTTGAGCCCTCAGGTATAACGCGTGAGGGGGGGCGGGGGGTGCACCACGATTAATGGAGGAGCAACCACTCAGTTCCTGATTCTGCATTAATCATTTCCTATATTTGGTTAAGTCATTTAGTCTTCAGTCTTGCCAAGTTATTGTTGTCATTCCTCCTTGCAGGTGGGGGGCAACAGGGTCAGAGAGGTTAAGTAACTATTGATGTGTAAAATTCCCATGGAGGATAGAATTCGAACCAGGCACTGTGCTGAGCTCTGGACTCGGACAGAAAAAGACACAGTCCCTGCCTACGCTCAAGCCTCGCGGTCTGGTGAGGGAGACAGGCACAAAAACAAATCTGATTTCTCATCTGATTAACACAGGGAGGACAAAGCTTGGCTACCGGAGGAGGCTCATCACGACTCACTTAGCTGGAAGTGGCAACTCCAGGGACTCCAGTCTCTGACTCCAAATTCCAAGCCCAGGGGGTGGAGAGATTGACTTACCTCTATTTGAAGGGATGGGGCAGCCTCACGGAAGAGGTTGCGTGTGAGTCAGGCCTTGAATTGCTGGTGGCGTGCGGAGAGTGGACGTTATTGGGGGCAGAATGATCCAAACAGAGGGACTGGCCCAAGCTAAGATGGGGCAGCAAGAAGGAGAGGTGTGTGTGTGGACAGGGCAGGGCAAGGCAGGCCACTTCGGGTGGAGCCTGACTGCGGGGAGGGCACAGCAGGGGATGGAACCGCTCCTTCTGAGGTCCCATAGGTGTCCCTCCATAGCCATCTGAATTGTCCATTTTCCTGGCTTGAGGGTTCCAATTTCTATTTAACAACCTAATTTCTACCTCATGGGCTGCAGAAAAGTTTACAGATGTTTGAGAACAGCATCCCCCCCATCCCTACTTCCACCCCCAAGTCCCTCAACTCAGCAGCAGGCTTTATTTCGGAATCTTCACCCCAGCCCACTTAAGTCCCTTCCTCCCCGGCAACTCTCTCCCCTCTCTCGTGTCATGAAGAATTTACTGAGAGCCTGCAGTGTGCTGGGCACTCTCCTAGGGGTCAAAATTGCAAAGAGACAAAACCTTTGCCTTGAGGAGCTTCACAGTCTAACGTGGACAATGGATTGTCAAGTGACTGCAAACATAATTCACTGGGAATATTTGTAATGTAGAGACCTCATACCCGGTAGTGAGCAGAGCAAAGCCTCACAAAGGAGACACCTGAGCTTCGCTGTGAAGTCCAGCCAGGGGCTTGGCAGGCATGTGAGGTGGCTTTCAAGGCTGAGACAGTAATATACCCAGAGGAACAGAGGCCTGGGACAACACAGCGTAGGAGGGACCCGAGCAAGAAGTGGCCACCAGAAGTAGAGAGGAGGCTGGTCGTTCTGGGCCTTAAGGAGGGTACGGTGTGCGACTCCCTTTTGAAGGTACTGGGAGCCTAAGCGAGGAGGGACATACTCGTGTGGAGATCTCTTTGCAGCCATAGTGGCGATGGATGGGAGAGAACCAGGCTGAAGTCAAAACCGCCCTGGGTTCATTCTCTCATCCACATCTTCCTCTCATAGAAAGAAAAGGAGATTTTAGAGAAAGGACATGATCATGCCAAAAATGACCTGTGAGTCATCAGCTGCATGGACCTCCTCCTCTTGGCCCATTTCTTTTTCCTGTCACTGAATGTCAAAGCAGGAAGAGACCTCAGAGGCCAACTCAGCCATGCCTTTTATGGGAAATGAAAGTTAATTACTCCTTCCCTGCTCTAAGAAAAGACCAAACAGAATTTCAAACTGAGATCTCACTCAGAGAAAGGAAAAACTTTGGCATCTGCTTCTGAAACTTTGGAACTATTCATTCATTGTAGTCATTTTTTTATCCATGTAGTAAACATGCAGAGAGTACCTACTCAGTGCCCGGTGCTGTGGGCAAAGAGAAGAATAAGATCTAGGCGCAGCCTTTGAATGGGGAATGTGCTATTGGGAGGTGCTTCCGGAACAATTAGGATGCTGTCAGCCCTTCGCTCTGCCAGCTTCTGTCTGCATCTACAATCCACTCACCTGGAGATGCACAACTAAGACAGCAGAGCCAGGAATGGGATCTAAATTCTCTCTACCAAGATGAGCCATGCTTTGTTCTCCCAAGCCATCTTTTGTTCAGCTTTGTGCATGACTCACACTTAAATCGTGGAGACTAAAGAGATTCTGGTTGTGGATGACAGCTGCCAGCAATTCAGGAAGGATTTTTCTGTTGTGAGAAGCCCTGGTGTGCGGAATGTTAGTAATAAAATTACCGGTAACTTTTCCCCACCAGCCTGAGTCTAGGATGTGGCGACTGAACGTAGAACCACAACTAGATTCTTGGTCAGGTCTTTAGTAGATAAAGACCTCTGAACCAAGTTGTCCACCTGGTTAGGATAAGAGAAGGTTGGACCATGAAATTCATCTGTTACTTAAGTTCTGTGTTCAGCCCTGGGACCTCCTATGGCTGTAGCTAATCTCTGATCCCAGTCAGCTTCTGAAATTTTTCCATAGGGTGAATTTCCAGGATGCTCAGCTCTCTGTCAGCCTTTGGAGTTGCGCTTCTGCAAAAGTTAATCAAATCATTTGGCCTTATTTACTCATTTTCATCCTGTTTCTCTGCCCTTTGGTAATCAAGACATGATAGGTGATTTAAAAAATAGTCCATCATTTTTACAAGCTAATGGAGGAAAAATTATCCCTCATAGAAACCACCACCATTTATCTAGCTTTCTTTCACTGTTTAATCTGCACATAATTTGTGTTGATTGCATTAAAATAAGAATCAAGAAAGCTGCTGGATCAGGCAATCAGGGACCTAATCTGTATTGTGTTTTAATTTCTTGGTTGAAATGCTCCTGTCTAGATACTAGGTCTCGGGGAGTGGGTGGCCTTTGCAGTTCGGCGTTTTCCTTAACCTCTGTTCATCTGCTGTGGCCCGTTCCACTGTGGGCTGAAGAGATTGGTGGGGGAGGGGTGTTGGCAAATACAGTTTGCGTATTATAATAATTGCACCTCTTCTCCACACAGTCTTAACAGGACCTCTTTCCTGTGCAGGAAGCCAAGTCCCCTGCGTTTCCATTCAGACAGTGACACCCTAGAAGAGTGCTTCTCATTCATACTTAGAGTCTAGTCCACTCTTGTCTTCCGGTTTTCCAACTTTTTGCTTATGACATTCACCTACTTCACATTATTTCCAGGCCTGGGGTTAAGTGTAATCCAATGGACAAAAATGAGCCAGTATATATATATATATATAATTTTTGTGCCACTATGTATTGATAGATGCATAGTTAAAAATATTTGCATTTTATTTTCCTTGGAGTTCTAGACAGATCTCTTTTCTTAACTGCCTAGGTCCCGCCATTGACTTGGAAAAAGTAAAGTCAGAATGTCTCGAGCCCGAGCCGGAGTTGCGGAGCACTTTCAGTGAGGAAGCAAATACGTCGTCCTATTACCCTGCTCCTGCACCTGTCATGGACAAGTATATCCTAGACAATGGCAAGGTAGTGTTTCAAGCTCAATGTCGATTCCCTGCAAGTGTTTTTAGTCAGAGTAAAGATGGAGAGTATGGTGGGGCTTCTGAGACACAGCCTGACTATGTGGCCTCCCGGCCTGGCCCTGAGCAACTTTCCGGAATCCATGTGTTGTAACTCGTGGACCTTTACTGGGATTTTTTTCTTTTTTTCATTTTTTTTAAATATTGGGCCAAAAAAACTGTAAAACTAAACTGACATTTAAAAGTACCTTATTAGTGAGGAAGATTAAAAAATGATAGTTTGACGAAAACTGCCCTACCTAGCTACGAAATCAGATGCATAAAATTTCTGAGGTGAACAAGAAATTAACTGCTTTACAGATAATAAGTCACTATATATCCACTCACCGCTTATGAAGTATCTGTATGTCCTAAGCCCAGTGCTAGATACCAGGGATGCAGAGGTGAGTGAGACTTGTTTCTTGTCCCTCAGCCATGTTGAAGCTGAATGTTCAGCGGTGGTTAGCCCACAGTTCCAGGGCCACATATACCTTCTCAGCTTTTCTTTTAGACCCTTGAGGGGAAATATCATGAAAGAAAACCTAAATACAATTAGTAATTAAAAACAATGGAATAAACTTTGGGAGTCTCAAAGTCACATGATGATATAGCAGCAGGGCAAGAAGAAAACTGTCCTACCATCCACAAGAGTCATCTTGGAAGAAGCATACTGGAGCACTTTATGTAGGCACTGCTCAAACTCACTTTCAGTGTTACATTCTCTGCCACCATAGCATACATTCCAGCCATCACCTCTCCTTCTCCCCCAAAGAATCATCTGTGTCAGGGCATTTTTCTTGCCTAATGCTTTGAAAGTTTTCTGTTTATCCACCTCTGTTCCCCAGTGGGTTGATGAGAAAGAAAAGGTGGTTTATTTGGGTTTGTCCAGAGATATCCCTGCAACTGGTCAGACTGAGCCAAAGCGAATATTGTCAAGCCGAGGAAATGAAACCTGTTGGTCTTCGGGGCTCTGTTGGGTCTGCTGCTGTTCCGGCACCTCCCACTGGGCGCTTCCTCCCCTGCTGAGGCAGACTTGGTGGGCCAGGCTGTAGGCCCGCTCTGTGTTGCCTTCTTTCAGCCAACAGCCTTTAAAAGTCTGCTCTGCTGGGGAGAGGTGGCAACACAGTGGCTGCAGGAAGTCTGGAACCTGACATGTAAGCATAGCTCTACCTCTGACCTACCGGTGTGACCTGGAGCAGGTTTTTCCCTTCTCTGGGCCTCAGCTCCCCTGTCTGTGAAAGATGGAAGTGGTTGGTGCTCCCATGAGACTTGAGTGACTCCAACAGTATATCTAAGTTTGGTAAACCCTTCCCAATTGAAGATAAATAAAAGAAAGGACTATTCTTTCTTCCTTGATTTCTTATTCATCATGATCACGTGGTGGAATAACTAGAGACTTTTTTTCTTAAAGTAGCTTCCAAGAGAAATCAATTTGTATCTTGCTTTGAAAACTGAGCAGTTTCTGAGAATTACAGGGCCTTTCTTCTGCAAAGGTACCTCTTTCCCTCCAAAAAATGGGTCTCTTAAATCTCATTTAATTTTTTCACATATGATTTGCACAGAAAGCATTGAAAAATGCCAATTTTGGGGGGGTTTTGGTTGTTGCCGTGTTACTAACCTGACTTTTGTTTGCAACTAATTTGTAGTCAGGCAGAGAGAAGTGCTGAGGGAGAGCAAAGGAGGCACACATACTGCAAATGGATGGCAGCTTCCCAGAGCAGTGTCCCCGCGTCCCAAACGCAGCCCTCGTTGTTCTTCACTCGGCTCTCGTTTCTGCCCCTTCCTTCTCTTGCCTGCATGAACAAAGGCCTTAATCTCTACAAAGCCTAGAGCATTGGAATGGGATCTGTTTCCTAGTAGGAAACTACTTTTGTCCTACAAAACATTTCACAAAGCCATTTTTTGATCATATCCCATCCTCCCAGATGTCATGTTTTTAATAACGTCCCTTGACACATTTTCGTCCAATGGCAAACTGTAGTTTATGGGAATAGGGCTTGCCACAAAAGTTACTTTTTGGTTTTGAAAACTGCGTTGCTATTCTTTTTCTAAGAATTTTGTTTCAAAAATTCATTGAATCATAAAGCCACAAATACCAATAAAGTGTAAATAATCTAATTTGTACATAATATGCGTGGGGAGACACATCCAGAGACGAGCCTTGTCTGCAATTGTACAGCAGGCTATAGAGGCAAGCAGGCAGGAGCTGGAAACCAGACGTTTTGGTTCCCAGGCCAGTGTTCTCTCCAGTCTATGCTGCGGCTCCCCTGAAAACTGGGCATTGCTCTAGGTGACCCTGAGCTTGGCTGACCTCTGGAGCCCTTGTCCCAAATGTCCCGCGTACACCTGTGATTGGTCTTACCCAGGGACATTTCTTCCTGTGCTGTAGTTGACCTTGTACTTGAGCAAATGTCAGAAAATATTTCCTTCTCCAAGACACAGCAGCTCATCAGAACTGACAGCCAGTGCCCTTACAACATATTAAATATACTGTCATCTTCTCACTTTGTGCCCAGACTAGTCCTGATCACTTTGTAGGGGACGAAAGAGGCAAAATCTCGACCCACCCCCCGCCACGGACTCAGGCTGTGAAGGGTTGATTCAAGCGAAGGTTCTCATGAAGCTAGACGTTTGGAAGGGATAGAACTTAGCCTGGGAGTAGTTAGGAGTATTTTCTGGATTTTGGATGGGGGCTTGAAGGATTAGCAGGTTTAAGGAGACATAATCCCTTCATTCCTTCCTGGACGGAGGAAAGACCTGAGCAGAGACGTGGGGTGGAGAGTGGGGGGCGGGGGGAGACAGCAAAGGAAGTAACAGCTTCTGGAGGTGTGCTGTTCTGATGGTCTACTCCTGTTATCTTGTTTAATTCTCAAAACACCTCCGTGGATTAGGTGGTGTTCTGCCTGTTATACAGCTGAGAAAAGGAAGGCTCAGAGAGGGAAAGTGACTTGCCCAAGATGCTGCTCAGCTAGTTAAGTAGAAGAGCCAGTATTCACACCCAGGTATGAAGGTTCCAGAGCCTTTCCTTTTCCTGCTTCCGCATACTGGAAATAGAAATGAAAGCATTTAGGAGCTTCCTAGAGTGAGGGACATAGTAGGGAGAGAAAAGCTAGTCGGTTGGTTAGAAACAGGATTCTAAAAGGCCTTTAAAGCTGACAGAGGAGGTAGGATTTGATGTGACAGGGAACAGGGAGCTGTTCAGGATTCCAGGGGGCTGGCGTGAAACTCTGTGTCTCTCACAGACTATGGAATTCATCCAGTCAAAGGAGGAGAGCTGTGTCACAGGGAAATCGGTCTGGCCGCAGGGTACGGAGGCAGGAAGGCCAGCCTGTGGCATTTATCCTGGGGTCCCCATCTAAAAGGATGAATTTCACTGGTTCAGGCCAGAGAGGTGACCCGGCAGGTACAGAGGAAAGCAGATTAGATGTAGACAGACCTGCTGTTTCCACCTTGACACTGGCCACAGCAGGGAAGAGGGAGAGCGTGGGTTTCAGGGGCATCCAGATTTGGGTTGGAATCTTGATTCTAAATTTTGGTGGCCGTACGTCTGAGGAAAAATAATGTAGTCCCCTGAATCTCTGTCCGTGTCTGTGAAACGGGAATCATTTTAACCTATTTTTATTCCTTAAGGTCATAATGAGGATAAATAAATTGAGGGTACAATACCTGGTTCATTATAAATGCTCAAAAAATATTAATGCTCCCCTTCTCTTGTAGAACTTTAGCTAAAATGACCATCATTTTTGTTTTAACAATAGTAAATGTTTAAAATTGTAGGAAAGCAAGGACTGAGGTAGAAAAGAGCAGAGACCTTTGAAAAACCAAAGTTATCTTCCATTGCTACAGTTTTCTGATTCTGAATTTAATCTAATTTAAACCCCTTGTTTTTCCCCTGTCTCTGGGAGCTTGTGTGGGTAGCTCCAGAGCATCACCAGGGGAGGTGAGTTGGAGGCCAGCAGGGAGCCGCGGGGAACTTGTCCTCAGCATGCCTGATCAGGCACGCACACCGCCCACCTGCAGCCGCGGCTGCGGAGAAGAGGCCAGGCTTGACCTTGGGCCGGTGTTGCCCAGCCAGCCCCAGGCAGCACATCGCACTGCGGGGTTGCTTATCTCCCTGAGCCGCAGGAACAGATCTGCTGTCCTGGCGTTGCTGCGCAGGGAGGCCAGGTGGATCTGGTTATCTGATACCTTGCATGCAGAAGTCTGAATGGTCTTTTGAGCAAAAGAAAGTCAGATGTGGCAGGTGGATTGTTTCCTTACTGACAGCCATAGGTGGGCTATGTTGCTTTGTTGTTGTTTTATTTTCAATCATTGAAAACCCCCAGTAATTGGTGGAGGAAGAAGAGTTGTTGTCTGGCCTATCTGCTCACTGTGTAGTGCCCACCTTCCTGTCCAAGCCAAGCTTCGGTAGAAAGATCTTTAATCATCTTTGAACAATGGGTGTCCGCGCAGTCTGTCAGACCAGGGCTTCTCCCGAGACATCTCCTGGCCATGCCATGTTGATGATCTCAGGTCCTTCTGAAGACAACGACCTTTGGCAAAGCCTTTTCATTCCTCTTAAAAGTTGAGCTTATTAGCAGCTCTCTCCCCTCCACCGCCACTGAGGCCTTTTCACCCTCCACAGGCTCAGCAGAAACATGACATAGTGGCGATGGCAGAGTAAAACCCTATTTTTTGATGATTAATGTTAGCAAGTGTTTTCTGAGTTGCTGAACGAGCCAGGAAGGAGAAGAAGTTTCAGAGCTTGAAACTTTTTGAGTTTCGAAAAGTTCCGAGCAAGTTCCATTGCTCAAGCGTGTTGGGTCTTCAGCATTACTGACTCTGCACTGAAACGTCGAATGCCACCTTTACCAGAAGCCTAAGATCGTGTCTGTTCCCTGTGCCCTCAGAATCTGGCTGGGACACTGTGCTTGTGTTTAATTTAGAACCCTAGGTGTTCTGAGCCAGAAGGAACTTAAAGATGAAATCCAAGTCTTCCGGTTCAAGTTCGTGGAAACCTGAAGCCGGAGATGGGAAAGGACCTGCACAAATATGCTCCCATTAGTGGCAGAGCCTGGCGAGCCATTTTCTCAGTCCCAGCCGGCAGGGTTTGAAAACTTGGCTGTGCATTGGGATCCCCTAGGGAGCTTTAAACCCTCCTGGTGCCTGGCCCCACCCGATGAGAATAAATGAGAATCTCTGGGAGCAGGGCCCTGGCACCAGCCATTTTTATAGCTCGTCAGGGGACCCCACATGCAACCAAGTAGAGAGCCATTGCGCTAGGAGGATGTGTGTCCCAGCGGGTTTACATGAAAAGCAGCAAGGTCCCTCTAAAGTGCAACAGAGAAAGGACTTAAACAGATGTGTTCCTGACATTTGGTCAGGTTCTGAGCAGCCTTGTGATAATGTAAATACAGTTAGAGTTCCAGGTCTGCAACTTCATAGTTGAGTGACTTCTAACAAGTTGTTTCCCTCTCCTCAACCTGAAATTTCACCTGAAATGGAAATAGTGTCCCAACATCTTCCTCCCAGGGTTGCCAAGAAGATTTGAGATAGTGGGTATGAAGCACTAGAATAAGGCCTGGTATTCAGTACAGGAATGCTATTACTTCCCGTAAAGAAAGGTAATTTAGCATTTATGGAAAGGATCCTGTATAGTTATGCAGGAATGTCTTTTAAAGGACAAGAAAAGTTTCCAGCTGCCATCCTGTCCAACTAAACAGGTGCCTACGTCATTATTCCTTTCAGGTCCATCTGGGAAGCGGGATTTGGGTTGATGAGGAGAAATGGCACCAGCTACAAGTAACCCAAGGAGATTCCAAGTACACAAAGAACTTGGCAGTCATGATCTGGGGGACAGATGTTCTGAAGAACAGAAGCGTCACAGGAGTTGCCACAAAAAAAAAGAAAGATGCCGTCCCCAAACCACCCCTCTCGCCTCACAAGCTGAGCATCGTCAGAGGTAGGTCACTGCAGGGGAAATGCAACGGCCGAGCTGCTGTCCTTCACCCTCCGAAGGGTGCATCGGGCACGATTCAGTTCAAAAAGCACTTCCTGAGGCTTCTCTGTGCCAGGCCCCAGGCTGGGCATGGGGACACGGGAGCAGAGAAGGACCTTGTCCCAGAAGAGCTCACACTTAACAGAGCCAATGAGCTGTGGACAAAAGACAGTGCAAGGAGCTAACATGGGAGACAGACAGACGATGGGTCAAGGGAATTAGTTCTTTCAGGGGAAGAGACCCCTAGCTGGAAAATTGGGGAAGGATTCCTGGCAAACGGGCCACTGAATTGGGCCTTGACGGGTCCATCAGACATGGAGACACCAGTGTGTAAACAGAGATACCCCTGGAGGCAGAAGCACCTGGAACAAAGGCGTGGAGGTGAGACAGGAGCCCAGCTGTGTGCAGAGAGAAGAGAGGTCAAGAGAGGTGGCGGGGGGACAGTGTGTAGAGTCCCAGCCTTGTGCCTGGAGCAGTTAATGAGATGAAGACAACTGTTTTCAACTTCTCTTCTGGTGCTTGGGAGAGGCTGGGGAGAGGCAAAGAGACAGGGTATCATTTGTCTCCCTAAAGACAAGGCTGTATCCTGGACACTTTGATTTTCCTTCTTCCCTTCCTTCATCCCTTCCTCCCTCCCTCCCCTCTTCCCCCTCTTTCTCCCCTATCTTCTCTCTTTCCTCTGTCTTTCCCACCCTCTCTCCTTTCAGTCACTAAGCTCTTATCTGCTGCCAAGTATTGAGGGCACAAAGAGGGATAAGGCACAGCCTCCATCTGTAAGGAGCTCACAGTCTCATGGGGAAGGTGAACACAAGAACAGCTAGTTCCTGTACAGATAATTCAGTTTATAGAGATAGGCAGGGAAGTACACGGGAGCAGAGAGAATACTATAGTAATTGCTCATTATTCTGAGCACTTACTATGTTTCAGGTTCTGAGTTTTGTTTTTATGGTTCTGTTTTAAAAAATACTTTTTCATGTATTAACTCATTTAATCCTTATAACACTCCTACTGTTGGCTACTGTTAGTATCCCTGTTTTACAGCCAAGGAAAAGGAGACACAGAGATATTAAGTAACTTGCCCAGATCATGCAGCTTTTAGGGGTAGAGGCAGAGGTCAAAGCCAGGAGGGCTGGCTTCAGAAGCTGCGTTTCTAACCGCCCATCTCTAAGTATCCAGCTGCTGTGTTTTGATAAAGAAAGTAAGGTGCAGTCAGTCACCATGTATATTTTGAGCAGGCCCTGTGCCAGGTTTGGGGACGGACAACAAATAGGTCCATGAACAAGTCAGGTAATTTCAGGTACGGAAGAGGTCTGTGAAGATCGTCACGTGACGTGGAAGGCCGCAGAGGGCCGTGTCCGCTCAGGTGGTTGGCGAAGGCCCGTGTGAGGAGGTGAACGTGAGCTGGCTGTGGAGGAGGCAGCCCAGGGAAGGGTGAGGGGTGCTGAGCGGGCAGGATAGAGAGCAGGTGCGAAGGCCGGCACGCTGCAGGGATGCAGAAGCCTCAGCGACTGTGCGGCCAGGAGTGAGGGGAGAGTGAGGTCAGGGAGGTGGGCGCGAGCCAGTCTTGTAGGGCCTTGAAGGACACAGAAAGCAGCCGGGATTTACTTACAGGAGAAAGGCAGTGGAGGTCTTCAAATCAGGCCATAACCCAGGGGGAGATCAGTTGGGAGGCTGGTGCAGTGGCCTTGGGGAGAGACGGCGGTACCGTGGACCAGGGTTATAGCGGGGAGGGAGAGAAGAAGGCTCACATCAGGGTATATTCTGGAGTTCAAGGTGGCAGGACACAGGTCCGAGGTCACAGCTACAAGGTTTCAGAGCCTGGGTTCTAACCCACACCCTAGATGCTGGGCTGGGGCCTGTGCCGCTAGAGGAGGCTGCCTCCCTTGCCTGGCTGACTCACGATTCATTGATTTATGCAGCCACTTATTTTTAGACAGTCAGAGGTAACCTTTAGTCGGCCCACTGTCTGAAATGGTAGAGCTTAATTTGGGAGGTCACCCTGAGATAAAGGCCCTCGGGGGGCGGGGTGGGGGTGTGCAGCCCTGGCCCTCTTGGTAGGTGGCCGACCTCTGATTCTGTGGTACATGTTGGAATGGGACTCAGCAGGTCCCAGGTGCCCTCGAATGACTGGCTGCCCTCCCGTTGCCACGTGGTGGAAAGTCATTTGCTGCGTGTCTGCCTCAGGCACTAGTCTGACTGTATCGGATTCATCTCCGTGTCCTCATCGCCTCGCACAGGGCCTGGTCACGGGAGGAGCTCAGCAAACGAGGGCTGAACGAGTGACACTGAGACCTGCCCGCAAGCTGATCCCCTGATGGGCCCTTGGTGTGATTTCTTGTAAATCACTTTCCCTCCCTGTCTCAGTTTCCTCAGCTGAACGCTTATCTCTTAAAACAGTTAAGAAGGCTGTCTCAGATGACAGACCTGTTGGTTTGCAAATAGTTATGTTTGAGGTGTGACAAGACGTTATTGACCTTTTTGACAAGTGAGCTGACTCTGCGGAGCCAGCGTGGCCGCAGGGCGGTCACGGCGCTGACGTTCGCGGTTATTCGTTGCTTTTCGGCTGCCAGGCCCTCCCCGGTGGGCTCCCTGGGCAGTGTGATGGAAAACAGAAGCCGGAGCCCGGGCCCCAGAGCCCCGTGTGAGCCCCGGCTCTGCTTTGGTTTAGCTTTGAGCTCGCCCTGGTTTGTGTTGTGCTTTCGTTTCCCCAAGCCTAATGCGGCGTCAGTACCAAGTAGATGCCTGGTGTCTCCGCCATACAGCCAGGACCACAGTCCTTGTCCTGGCTCCTCAGTGGACCTCAGGGGCATTTTTTACTGTTCTTTAAACCCTATTCAGATGATGTTCTATGCGACTAACCTGGTCCCCAGTGCTGCAGAACAATCTAGAAGGAAACACCCCAGCTTTGTGGCTTGGGGCCATTGCAGATTCTCCATCTCGGGCCTCCCTGCCAGCTCCTCTTAAGTCTCCCTCACTGGTCCCCTCCGCCACTTTCCAGGCTCTTTCCAAGCCTTCTCTACTTTTCCCAGACACAGCTCAATAGATGGCCTTGTCTCTTCCTTCACCAAGAAAAGAAACAGAACCCCCGCAGCTTTGAACCACCACATCCACAGACCTAACTGTGTCCCCCATTCTTCTGCCTCGTGCCTCCAAAGGAGAGCGTCCTCCTCTTTTTCGGGGCTGGCTGCTCTCTTCCTCTGGGTCCCAGCCCGCCTGCCTCCCAGAGGACCTTGTCCCTCCGATTATGTCCTGTTCTCCTGCTTCCTCCCTGGCATCATGGAGAGACGCTTTGACTGTTCATTTCCTAGAAAACAAGGCGCTCCCCAGAGGCCACTGCCACCGCCCAGCCGCTGCCGTGTTGTGTCTCTCTTTTCTTTTTCGCATCCCGGTTTCTTGCAAGACTTATCCACACTCGCTGCCTCTGTTCACTAGAAACTGCCCTGCCACCAGCTGCCACCCCCAGCCCTCTACTGAATCTCTTCTCCCAAGTTTCCCGGGGGCTTCTCCTCCCTAAATCGGGGCCTGTCTCACCTCCTCCCTGGCCTGCGGCACATGCCCATCCCCTTCACTGAGAAACCCATCCTGCACACTCCGGATTTCCGCCTGCCCATCCGGCCTCTCGTCCACCGGGGGGCTCTTCTGCTGCCCTCTGCTCCGCCTCCAGCCTCTTCCCCCTCAGCCTGCAGCACTTTCCTCAGCTGAGCTCACGGCCCATTGTTCCCTTCCCCCTCCGTGTGCCCTGGGGGAGATCCACACTCCTTGTCCTGGCTGATGCCGGGTGACCTGGCCTCTGGTGACCCCTCTGACCTTGGCTCTCACCGCCCATCCCACCCCCTACTATGCAGGAACCACAGAGGCCTCCTTCCAGGTCCTCCCTGATCCTGCTGCTGCCGTGCCCCTCCCCCACCCTCTCCTCCTGCTCCCTCCTTATCTTTCAGGGAGCCCCTCCCCAGCTGCCCGATATACCGTGCCTTTCCATTGCTCTCTATTGTATCCCCCTCAGATTTCTGCATAGGCTTTCTTATTTGTTTATTTACTTGATATCTGTCCTCTCCCCCACACCTGTTAGATGATAAGCTTTTCCTGAGCATCTTGTGGAGGGCTAGTATGTAATAAGTGCTCGGTAAATAGTCGTCGAGTCAATGAAGGGTGGTTCTTAAATCTATATTTGACCTCAGTTCACACTTTTGCGCCTCTGACCCATCCATCTGGGCGCCTGCTGGTCGTCTCCTCACGGATGTGCAGGCGAAATTGGCAGAGCCGTCCTGCTCACTTCTCACCCCTGTTTCTTTCCCCAGACCCTCTGCCCCTCTGCGTTCCCTGTCCTGGTGAATGGCACCACCAGCCAGGGACCCAGAGATGTCTTACCCATGATTCCTCCACATGCTTCACTCCCCATCACTTCTGCCCCCAAACACCTCTTAAACCCCCTCCCATCCCCACTGCCCCTCGTTGTCCGGGCCACACCATTTCTTCCCTCTATACTCCCGCAGCTTCCAGACTCTTCTCTCCACCAAGGAACTACATGATCTTTCAGAAACGAATATCTGATCTCGTTCCCATCCCCCTGTCAGAGCCGGTCCGAGGCGCCCATTAGAGGGTAAGCTTCTTAATGTGTCGTACAAGCACCATCATAATGTGGGCCCTGGCCATAGCCCCAGCTTGGTTTCTCAGCAGTATTCCCTTGAACTCTTAGGTTCTTGCCACATGAACTACATATTCCCTGAACAGGCCTTGCTCCCTCTCACATTAGGGAATTTGTAAATGCTTTTCCCAGTGCTGGAACCTGGGCATTCTCGCCGCCCTATGCCTTGCCACCCTGCCCACCTAGCTGTTCCTCACCACCCCGATCTGCTTCGAGAACCTCCCTTCAGAAAGCCTTCCCTGCCCTCTTGGTCCCAAGTGCCTCGTGCCTCTATTCCCTTCCTACTGCATCTTTGCTGCCCAGGAGGCTGGTCCAGCAACAGCCTTTGAGCACATATGCTCTTGGCTGCCATGCAAGTGAGTGGGAAGGAAACTGACTTGCCCAAGGCCTTGCAACTGCTTAGATCAGGGCCAGCAGAGGTGAGCTGGCAGGCGTCCCTTGTCTCCAGAGGTTTTCTGTCGCGCTAAAATGCAATGTCTGTTTGCTTACTTACTGCAGCCATGCAGGTTTGAAGTCTGTCTCCCATCCCCACCACACACTCCCCATTTTGGGCCTAATTATTTGAGCTCTCCCAGATTGCATTTGACTGGCTTTTCCCATGCAAGCCGTCTGCTGGGTTGAGATTGTTTGTATTTATTTTGTACGATTTAATCATGTACAGCCACATTTGCCGTATACAAATGGCTCACAGGGTTGGTGAGAATTTTCTGTTCTCTGATTTTAAAATCCCATCTTACTGGATAGCAGGGAGGCCAGGGGGTGAACATCGATGCTGCTGTCGAAAGACAAGCACAGGAGGGCTGGCGGAGAGGCTCACTTTAGTGACAGGCTCCAGAATGACAGTTAAGCCTTATTAAGGTCAAATGACCTTTTGCAGAGTGTCTGAGTTTTCCAAATGAGCCCCAGCGTTGAGTTCTGGTTAATTTTAATAACTTTTTTAATAGGACACATTAGCGCCATTATAAACCTTGTTAATTAAGCAATAATCTCAAATGCTCCCTCGCAGAGGGAGACATTCCTGGCAACTGCAGATGATTAATATCTAGAGTCTCACGAAAGCCTCTTCATCACCCCAAGGGGCCGTCCTGCGCCCTCACCCCAGGAGGGCACTGATTGGAGTTCTGAGGAGGCCCCTCTGACAACCGCCCTCCGCATGCTCCTTTCTCTTCCTGCATCTTCTCCAGCTCACGCTGGGGGCTCTGAGGGCCACCGCCCCCACCCCCTCGCTCCCTCATCCCTTAACCACTTTACCACCCTCATTACCTCCTGGGGACTCAGAGCTGGAAGACAGCCCCTGGGTTATCTGGTCTGACGTCCTGCTTTCCTTGCTCGTCAAACCGAGACCAGAGAGGTTCCCACGATGGATGGCACAGCCGCTAGGTTTGGAGCCGAACACGTGAACTCCAGAACAGGTCTAAGCACAGGTGTTTCCCTCATTTGCTTCGGGTTCGGGCAAGGTCACCATGAGTGTCCGCTTTCTTCTTGTCCCGGGCTGGGGCGGGGCGCAGGGGGCAGGGGGCGAGGGGCTGGTGCCCAAGTGTTCCATTTTGTAGGGAAGACAGTGTGGCTGTAGTTTTATTAGACTCTGACCAGTGCTTTGACAGAGAAAGACCCAGGCAAGTGTGTGGGCGCAGAGGCTGTAGACAGAGTAGAGACTCCGAACTCAGTCTGGTAGGTTCCCAAGGCTGCCTTGGGAAGAATAACTAGGATTTTAGGCAGGTGGAGGACTGGGCCAGGGTAATTTGAGAAGAGAAGAGCAAAGACCCTGTCCCTTGGGACAGTCTGGAGTGGGGCGGTGGATGATAGCGGGTGGATAAGAGCAGGGAGACGGGGGAGGCACAGAGCCCCTCCCTTCTTGTCTTGGCCGCTGTGGGAAGGCCGAGTCGAGACCCAGTGAGGATTGGTGGGGCTTGCGAGTGGTCAGGCGGTCGTGGAGGCCGATAAAGGCTTTTCAAGACTTCTCCATGCCAAAGCCCTCTCGGTGGGGAGGAAGGGATGCCCTGGAGAGAGAAGGCCTGCGGCGGCACACGCACCTGCCGCAGGAGTGGCCCAGGAGGCAGGCTGGCCGCGAGCCCAGGGGCGGGTTCAGAGTGGGGGAGGCAGCCGTGGCTTCTGCCCTACCGCCTCCCTTTCTCTGGGCCTCAGGCTCCTTGCGTGTAAGTGCCGGTTAGCGCAAGTTAGTCTCTGCGATCCCCTCTAGCATTGCCATTCTACACCTGTCAGAGGATTACCTGCCGTGGCTGGCCTGGTGCACCAGATTTTGTTTATCCTCCACAGCAATTCCCTAAGAAGGGGTTGTCATTCCTGTTTTACAGGTGAGAAAGCTTAGGTTCCAGGAAGTTAAAAGCCTTACCCATGGTGACAAACCCTAGAGGTACATTCCCCAGCCCTCTTAAGTCCAGAGTGTTTATGTCCCCTCAGGTTTTACTGGAAAAGCAGTAATTGATTCATTCCTTTAACAGATATTTACTTAATCTTGCCCTATGCCAAGCACTGTGCTAGGTGCTGGGAGTGAACTGTTGTATATACGTTAAGATAATTGGAACAACCCATAGAGGTGTAGTGTTCCTTACAGTTTGAAGAATGTTTGCAAAAAGTTTACCTCAGATGCCCCAAGATAGCTTTAAAAAGATGCACTTGGTTTCTTATACTTGTTTATGGGGTGACAAATCGGGGTAATGATGTGCCCCAGGTCCCAGGCCAGGAACGGGGCTGCAGGTGGGGGCTGCAGGTGGGTGCCGCATCCCAGCAAGTGGCAGACTTCGTGGAAGTGGGGCTGTCCTCACCCTCATCAGCAATCACAACAAGACCCACCTCACACCCACCAACCAGGTTGTCAGAGCTTTACTAATCTGAAAATGCCACATGCTGTCCTTGCACACACTGCTCTAAGGAATGCCAAGCAGCAGAACCACAGAAAACAATTTCCTAGGCACCACCCAGTGAAGCTGAATGTGCCCCTACTGTAACGTCACGGTTCCCCTCCTGGGCGAGGGCTGGGGGATCTCCTGCGCAGGTGCCCAGGAGACACGCACCAGGGTGTTTGCGATCACAGAACACAGGCAGCCACCCAAGTATCCATTGACAAGAACATGGATCAGCAGATTGTGGAATAGTCACACAATAAAACACCACTCTTCAGTGAAAATGAGTGACATGCAGCTATACACTTGCACGTGGGTGAATTTCAGAACTGTAATCTTGAGTGAAAAAAAAGATGTATATAGAGTAGGGGCATGCGTATAGAAAAATTTTAAAAATACAGGGAAAAGTAAGCAATATGTTATTTGTGGATATATGCATGTGTGTTAACATTAAAAGGAAAAGAAAAGCAAAAATTCAGGAGAATGGTTACTTCCACGTCTGGTGAGGGCGAGGAGAGGGTGGAGTGGGGGAGGGGCAGGCTGGGGCTCCACAGGGACCGTCAATGTCCTGTTAAGCTGGGTGGCGGGCACATGGGTGTTTTATCATTATTTTAAAGGGTAAATTTACAGTATGTATGTATTCTTTTCTATATACATATTGTGATGAAAATTTGAAAATATTGTGTCAGATTAGTGAATTTTTATTTGGGAAGTATGTCAAGAGGCACATTTTCTTCCCCCTCTCCCCCCAAAAAAGATTTGTGCTTAAGTTACCATTAATCCTTGGCCTTCTTGTTTCTTTTCCCTGTCCAGAGTGTTTATATGACAGAATAGCACAAGAAACTGTGGACGAAACTGAAATTGCACAGAGACTCTCCAAAGTCAACAAGTACATCTGTGAAAAAATCATGGATATCAATAAATCCTGTAAAAATGAAGAACGAAGGGAAGCGAAATACAATTTGCAATAAACTTGGGATTTTTCATAAAGCCGTCTCGTTTTCCTTGCGCGCTGTGTGATTTGCGGGTGACGGCGCCGTCCGCATCAGCCCGAGCATGCGTGGTGGTGTGTGGGCAGTGAGCCAGTAGGGTGCCGGGGTCAGCGATATGTTCTGAACTTGGACTTCCCACTCCAAAGAAGGCAGATGGATTTGCTGAGACTCAGGCTGCAGCCTGGCACCAGCGTCGTCCTGGGGAGGGGGAAAACGTTATCGTTTTGGCGGGGGATAAAATGTCTCTGCCTCGCCTGCCACTTGACCCAGAATTTGAACTGATCTTTTTACCATTCAAGGACTTCTATCTCTGTTCCTCTATTTTGTTCTATAATAAAGCTCCATGAATTCTTTGATGTAGACAATCATTATCCTCATTTATTTAAGCATATTAAACGTACAGTGGAGGTGGCCCGTGTCCTTTGAGGGGCAGAACATTCAGGCCGGAGGAGGCAAAATTCTTCAGGGATGTGGTTGCCAACTGCAGACCTGAAGGGCTGTCTCGAAAGCAGATACTTTCTCTTACTTCAAAGGACAGACCTAGGACAGGTACCTTTCTCACTCAAGGTGATCAGAGATTCAGCTTCCCAGATAATTTGAGTCAATCTTTGTAAGGGGCGGGGGGCGATGTTAGATGTGGTCCAGGGTTACTGTCAGGAAGCTGGGGGCAGGTCACCTGCCGTAAGTTTGTTTCTCTTATGTTGTATCTCAAATAATCTTTCCAGTTACATAATTGTTTATCTCATTCAGTAACTGAGTCTCCAAGGTGCCTGGTGTGCACCCTGGCAAACTGCATGTGATCTTCCTGGTGATTTGCGCTTTCTTTTCTCTGGTGCCTGTGAAGTCAGCGTGGTATATTACAGATGGCAGGGGTCCGGGGCTGAGCACCTGGGTTTCAAGCCTCGCTCCCCTGCCTGCCTGGGCTTAACCTAACCTCTTCCGGTGCCTAAGAAGGAGATAATTTTTACCTTGCAGAGTTGCCATAAGGATTTTATATATATATATATATATATATATATATATATATATATATATATATAGCTCGATAAATGTTGGCAATCATTATTAATTTCTGGTTATTGGCTTTTAGGCATCAGTTGGAAAACGTCGGCCTCTCATTTCTCTATTGGGTTATCCACTAGACCATGAAACCATTGGGGAACTAAAAGCCAAAGCTCAGGGTCACTGGGGTAAGAAGGAGAGGTGGCTGCCTCTGTGAGGAATTTCATCCTAGTAAATAAAATAATTCTTTATAATGGGAAATACTGTATGCTCACTAATAGATGTATAGGCGTGCAAATCCTTTTATGGTATTTTCCCAGCCCTCCCGAAATTAGCACTGTGATCTTGGACCAATCACTTCACTTCTCATAGTCCTTATCAGTATAATGAGGAAAATAATGCCTACAGCATGGGTTGTGTGGATAATTAAATAATAATAATGGCAGAAACAACAGATGCTTAATATATGCCAAGACTTTTCCAAGTGTTTGGCATAGGGTAGCTCATTTCCTAAGGTCAGGAAGGGTAGTGACAGTAGCGTTCAATAAATTCTTGCTGTTGAGATGTGTTCATTTTACTGGTACGGGGCAGCGTGGGCCTGAGTAGTATGGAAGGCGTGAGAGACTGGGGAAAAGCACACATCGTACTGGAGCTCCTCTCTGTACTCCCTGAGCATGGCAAAGATACAAACACCCAGAGGCGTGGGAATCTCTTTAAAAAATGCTATGACATATGTGAAAGTGCTTTGGGAACTATACGATACATATATTAAGGACAGAATGGGGTTGTGAAAGATGTGGGGATCTGAGTTCGAATCCTGACTTAATCACTTCTGGGAAGGTCCCCTGGCCTCTCTGGGGCTTGTTAGTTCTAAAGTAGAAACGATGATCCATAGCCCCGGGGCTGCTGGGGAGAGGAATCCAGCCAGGCGATGCCAAGCAAGGGCTCCGCAGGTCTCACAGAGCCAGGCATATGCCAGTTCCCCTTCGCAGGACGATGGCAGAAGTGGGTTTGACGAGGGAGGACCAGCGGGCCAGTTCTGACTGGGGATTTCATGTGGGAATTTCACGCACTAGTTAGACGGAGAGGCTTTCGAGCACCTGTTGTGTATCTGGCACCCTGCTACTGTTATATGAGGGCAAGGCCATTGTTCTTATATCCACACGAGTGAGGAGATGGACGCAAAAAAAAAGGCTGAGTGACTTCTTGGCCAAGGTCCCAGGAGTTGTCAGCATTGGAGCAGGGTTAGAATTCAGATCTGTGCATAATCTACCTTTTTAGCTCTTCCCAGAATGGTGAGTGGGATATTATGGTCTGGGCTGAGAATCTAGCTGTATAATCTCAGGGTACATGAAGGAGAGACCTGACCTAAGTAATTGGTTAATGGAAATCATTCTCATTAATTGAAGCCATTTGAAGGGACTGGAAATAATTGTACTACTTATGAGGATTCACAGTTTTATTACATTAAAATACATTCAAGTGCATTTTGTGTTAGAAGAGGGTTTTCTAAACCTGCCCAATCTTAAGAATGTGCTGAGGTGCCCGAAATACAGATCCCTGGGCTTTGGCCTAGAGAGCTTGACTCAGTAGGCCTGAGATAGAGCCTGGAGTGTGAACTGTAAAAACGGTGCCCCCTCTGGGTAATACCAGTCTAGTCGAAGTCCCGTGCGCGTCAGTGAGGAAGCAAGAGTGTTTCTGAGCTAAAAAAGACTGGCTCCTTCTAAAGTGCCTGAGGATATTTGAAACTGAGAATAAACTTTCTCTCAAATAGCTGAGAATCCGCCCTAAAACCTTGTTTAGAGTTACTCTTCCATGCGCACCAAATGCTGTTTAGTTGGACATGGTGCCGAAGTTGGCTTCGGTCTATGCACCAATGATTCTCCTCTGCCTTTTAACACTTCAGTTCTTCCTTTCGATCCCTTTCCTTTGATGCCAGTGAGCTGTGTAGGACAGGATGGTCAATACTGACTCGGCAGGGCCTGGACTCATGAGGCTGGGGCACTGGCTTCAGAGCCCTGGCAACAAGTCCTCTGTGCCAGACGAAATGCAGACGTGGCTTGTTTTTAGTTTCTGGCTGAGAAAAGTGTGTTAGTGACTGTTATGTGCCCAAGGGTTTCTTGGATGTATTTCTAAACTATGCCTTTTTTTTTTTTTTTTTTTTGTAATTATAAAGAAAAAACACTTTGTAGAAATTTTTGGAAAAATAGGGGAAACATTTCAAATCACACTACTACAAGCACTGTGATCTATCTCTCCTAGTCTTTTTCTCAAGTGTGCAAATATATTTGATGTGCCTGTGATGATAGCAGACGACAGGTTTGTATCCTTCCCTTTCCATTTTATACGGTTTTCTGTTGCTTTGCGAAATTCACAGCCGTCAGTTCTAACATCCACCCAGTGGACAGACATAGATCTACAACCTGGTAAACAGCTGTCCAACTGTGTTGACGCTCACGGCTGCCAGTTATGAAAGTCCTCGCTGCACGCTTTGGTCCAGCACAGGTGGTACGGTGAGCTTGAGTTTAGAGGGTCATTGCATTGGAGTCCAATTCCCAACTCTAGCACCTGCTACCACACTTAGGGTGAGTTCCTTTATCTGCCTGAACACCAGCTTCTTCATCTGCAACAGAGAGAAAATAATATCTAGTTATGCAGGACTGAGAATATAATCAAAGTGCCCCAGTGAGAGCGGGTAAACAGCCACCAATGTTAATGTTGGCATTCCTCCGCCCTCCCCTCCCCTCCCTTCCCCTTCCTTCCCACACCTTCCCCCTGCCCTCCTCTCTCAGTGCCCATTCAGTCTTCACCTGAGTGTCCTCCTGTCTTGTCTCTGACCCCCTCTGACCTTGGCTTTCACATCTGCCTTTGGCCCTCCAGACATCTTGTGCTCGTTGCTCGGCGTCCAGTACTCATGGGCCTTCCCTGCACACAGACCTCTGCCACTCAGTTGACCCATTTATCCTTCCTTTAAATTTTTAGGTTGTTGATGAATATTTTTTGCGTGTGGTTTTTTTTTCCTTTATAATTTTTATCGTTTTCTTGGGGTTTTATCTGGGTCAAAAGGAATGACATAATGAATATTGTTGATGCACATAATGGGTGTGGCCATGATTTAAATTATTTTCCCAACTTAGGTGAAAACTGGTTCCTCATGATATTTTCTTTGATTATTTCCAAGACTATACATCTCTCCAGAGTTTGGTTTCTTGGTAACAGAAAACGATAGCTTAACCTGTAAGCATTTCCTGTAGAATCCATTTCATTTTCCGTGTTTAGTTTTCTCTTGACCAGTGTGTTTATTTGGGGCATGTAATTTTTACTTTTATACCTGAAAATACTAATTTTTACTTTTATGTCTGCAAATACGCATACCAACAGATACCCTTGCTACTTGTTTTGAAGGGATTGATCAGTTTCTGCTAAGCAGCTTCATAGGCTCATGGAAGCGAAGGGTCAAAAGAGAACTCCCAAGTCCTCCGCCCCGATCTCCTCTCCGCCGGGAGCAGCGCCTTGCCGCACCACACTCGCATACCTCCGGGCGTGGGGAATCCATCTTCCTACCCCAGAGCCCGCCAGTGACTGCCATCACTAAGATGTTCTCTTGTTGAGCTAAAAATTCACTCCCTGAGACTTCTTCAGTCACTCAGGTGCTCTCCCCTGAAGTCACACAGAATGCTTCTACTTAGAGCTCTTTGCAGAATTGAAGGCCACAGTGTCTCTTCACCGACTAATAGGCAGCTGGAATTCCGTCCCACCATTTCTCACATGAGGGACGCTGCCCTGGGAAGGGTGGAGACCCTGGACTTAGACAGCTCTGTGTTTAACTGCTGACAGCCACTGACTAATGTGTGACCTTGAACAAGATCTTAACCTCTCAGCTTTATTTTTCTCATTTTAAAAATTGAAATATATGACTTCCTCACAGGGTTGCATCAAGAGCTATAGATATAATGTGAGCGGGGCACCTAGGTGTT